TTTTTGTGCATGTCAGTCCAACTTCCAACTTTGTGTTTTGCATGGTTGTCCTCCATTCCAACAATGATCTCCTTCCTCACCTCAGACTCCTGGCTTTCCTGGATTGCTTCTTAAACCCCACCTTATTTAAAAGGCCTTTTCCACATCCACATTAGTTTCTTTTTCTCTGAGATTATTATATATGTATATATATATATATATATGTACATTATATATATATATGTATATATATATATGTATATATATATATATACACACATACAAATATATACACATACAAATATATACACATATACACACATGCACACCCATACAAAATAGATAAACCTTTGGTTAATTTGATTTAAAAAAAGAAAGAAGAAAAACAAATTACCAGTATCAAAAATGAAAAGGGTGAATTCACCACCAATGAAGAGGAAATTAAAGTAGTAATTAAGAACTATTTTGCCCAACTGTATGCCAATAAATTTGACAATCTTAGTGAAATGGAAGAATATTTACAAAAATAGAAATTGCCCAGATTAAAAGAAGAGGAAGAAAAGTACTGAAATAACCCCATCTCAGAAAAAGAAATTGAACAAGCCATCAACGAACTCCCCTAGGAAAAAATCTCCAGGGCCAGTTGGATTTACAAGTGAATTCTATCAAATATTTAAGGAACAATTAATTTCAATACTATATAAACTACTTGGAAAACAGGCAAAGAAGGAGTCACCAAATTCTTTTTATGATACAATTATGGTACTGATACCTAACCTGGAAGAGTCTAAACAGGGAAAGAAAATTACAAACCAAAAATTGGTAAAAAGATTACAGCAACTTATCACAAGAATAATACACTATGATCAAGTAGGATTTATACTAGGAATGCAGGGCTGTTTCAATATCAGGAAAACTATCAGCATAATTGATCATATCAACAACAAAACTAACAGAAACCATACGATTATCTCAATAGATACAGGAAAAGCTTCTGACAAAATAGAACACCCATTCCTATTAAAAACACTAGAGAGCATAGGAAGAAATGGAGCCTTCCTTAAAATAAGTAGCATCTACCTAAAACCATCAGCAAGCATTATATGTAATGGGGATAAGCTAGAAGCATTTCCAATAAGATCAGGGGTGAAACAAGGATGTTTATCGTCAGCACTGTTATTCAATATGGTACTAGAATCGTTAGCTTTAGCAATAAGAGAAGATAAAGAAATTGAAGGAATTAGAATAGTCAAAGAAGAAACTAAGTTTCTCCTCTGAAAATCATATGATGATATACTTAGAGAATCCTAGAGAATCAAATAAAAAATTTCTTGAAATAATAAACAACTTCAGCAAAGTTGCAGGCTATAAAATAAACCCACATAAATCATCAGCATTTCCATATATTACCAACAAAGCCCAACAGCAAGAGATAGAAAGAGAAATTCCATTTCAAGTTACACAGACCTTATAAAATATTTGGGAGTCTACCTGCCAAAATAAACCCAGGAACTATGTGAACACAATTACAAAATACTTTTCACACAAATACAGTCAGATTTAAATAACTGGAAAAAACATCAGTTGCTCATGAGTAGGCTGAGCTAATATAATAAAAATGACAATTCTACCTAAATTAATTTACTTATTCAGTGCCATACCAATCAAAATACCAACAAATTATTTCATAGAGCTAGAAAAAACAGTAACAAGATTCATCTGGAAAAACAAAATGTCCAGAATATTAAGGGGGTTAATGAAAAGAAATGCTAGGGAAGGTGGCCTAGCCATACCAGATCTTAAATTGTATTATAAAGCAGCAATCATCACAACTACTTGGTATTGGCTAAGAAATAGTGGTAGATCAGTGGGAACAGGATAGGTACGGAAGACACAGTCGTCAATGACTACAGTAATCTGTTGTTTGATAAACCCAAAAAACCCAGCTTCTGGGATAAGAACTCACTATTTGACAAAAACTGCTGGGAAAACTGGAAAATAGTATGGCAGAAACTAGGCACAGACCAACATCTTACACCACATATCAAAATAAAGTAAAAATGGGTACATGATTTAGATATAAAGGCTGATGCTATAAGCAAACTGGGAAAATAGCAAGGAATAGTTTACCTGTCAGATTTATGGAGAACAGGAGAATTTATGACCAAACAAGAGATAGAGAACATTACGAAATGCAAAATGGGTAATTTTGATTACATTAAATTGAAAAGTTTTTGCACAAACAAAGCCAATGCAACCAAGATTAGGAGTGAAGCAGAAAACTGGGAAAGAATTTTTACAACCAGTGTCTCCAACAAAGGCCTCATTTCTAAAATATATTGAGAATTAAGACAAATTTATAAGAACACAAGCCATTCCCCAATTGATAAATGGTCAAAGGACATGAACAGACAGTTATCAGATGAAGAAATTAAAGCCATCTATGGTCATATGAAAAAAATGCTCTAAATCACTATTGATTAGAGAAATGCAAATCAAAACAACTCTTAGGTACCACATCACACCTATCAGATTGGCTAACATGACAAAACAGAAAAACAATAAATGTTGGAGAAGATGTGGGAAAATCAGAGCACCAATGCATTGTTGATGGAGTTGTGAACTGATCTAACCATTCTGAAGAGCAATTTGGAACTATGCCTAAAGAGCTATAAAAATGTGCATACCCTTTGACCCAGTAATACCACTTGTAGGGCTGTATCCCAAAGAGCTCATAAAAATGGGGAAAAGACCCACATGTACAAAAAATATTTATAGCAGCTCTTTTGTGGTGGCAAAGAATTGGAAATTGGGGGGGATTCTGATCAACTGGGCAATGGCTGAAGAAGTTGTGGTATATGAATGTTATGGAATACTATTGTGCAATAAGAAATGATGAGCAGGCAGACTTCAGAAAAACCTGGAAGGACTTGTATGAATTGATGCTGAGTGAAGTGAGCAGAAGCAGGAGAACATTGTGCGCAATAACAGCCACATTGTGTGATGACTGACTTTGACAGACTTAGCTCTTCTCAGCAATGCAAGGAACTCAAGATGCTATCCACATCCCGAGAAAGAACTATGGAGTCTGAATGCAGATTGAAGAATACTATTTGCTCTCTTTTTTTTTTTGTTTTGTTTTGTTTTGTTTCTTCTTTCTCATGGTTCCTCCCATTCATTCTAATTCTTCTTTACAACATGACTAATGTGAAAATATGTTTAATAAGAATGTATACATAAAGCCTATATCAGATTGCACTCCTTCTTGGAGAACAGGGATGGGAGGGAGGCAGAGCAAATTTAAAACTCAAAAGCTTCTGGAAGTGAATGTTGAAAACTAAAAATAAATAAATTAAATTAACTGAAAAATTGAAAAACAAAACAAAACATTATCAAGGGTATGACCCTGGATGTATGACAAGAAAAAATGGGCCAATCTTATATTAAGAATAAAGCATAATGGATAGCCAGTGACAGTGTCAGTGTTATAAACACAGCTCTAAGCCCAGAGCTCTCTGAGCTTAGATTGAATTTTGGGATGAAGGGAGGCACGCATGAGTCAATGCGCAAAGGAAGTTTACTGTGTTCAAACACAGCAAGGATATATAGCTAGAATATAGTGTCCCTTAGCTTCCCTGGGCTCTCAGCCTTTCTCACCTCCATCTGGAAACACGTCTAGTCAACACATCATCAGAGTATGGTGACTTCTGTGGTTTTAAGCATTTATTAAGTGCTTACTACAGGCCAGGCACAGTACTAAGAGCTTTGCAAATATTATGTCATTTGATCCTTACAACCCTGAGAATTAAATGCTATTATCATTCCCATTTACAATTGAGGAAATTGAGGCAACAGAGATTAAGTTACTTGTTCATGGCCACACAGTGTTTGAGGCTAGATCTGAACTCAGGTCTTCCTGACTCCACACCCAGCACTCTTTCTATTGCAAGATCTAGATCCCTCTGGACCTTGTACGTCCCCAAGCCAAGACGCTGTGTCAGGAAAACTGGATCCAATGAGGTTGCCATGTGGGAAAGAAGTCAGAGAACTCAGGGATGCTGAAGCAAGAGAACACTGACTCTATCACAGCTAGTATCTACAAAATATTTTTTAAAATCTCTATAAACTCTTTACATGTTATTATTAAGCAGTCATGGAAATATGGAGACAATAATTTCATATAATAAGAATGCAGGATTGGTTTGCAATTTACAATGATAAAGAGAACACTTATACTGGTGAAATGATGAAGACAGAAAGGTACAGCTAATTAAATACCTGAATGAATATTAAGGAATCTGGGTTTTATGACAAACCACTATAAATTTCTAAAGGGGAGCAACATAACTAATTTGATGTCTGAATAAGATGTTTCTTACTCTCACAAGGCACGATGAATTTGAAAGAAGAACTGAAATAAAGTCTAGATACAATAGAGAGACACTACCAATAAGATTTAATAACAGCTTAAACCAATTTTTAATGCACTCCAGATGGATTATAGTACAACCTAGCGAAATAAAAACATCAAATTTATTAGGAAACAAAATTATAGAACTTAACAATACTTTAGTAAGCTCAAATAATTAATGAATAATTTACAGTACACAATGTAATCCAGATAGTAGAATAACTTATTTGTCTAAATACAATCTACATTTTTCCTAATGTCTGAAGTGAACATTATAAGAAGTCATTTTATTTTCCTGGCTCTAAATTACTTTTAAAGGAGTGCTTTTCACTTCCTTTAATGGACAAAAGATTAATGATATTCAACATATCTTGAATTTTAAATATATTCTTTAATAAAATATGGGTCTTGTAGGCAAATTATTTTAGTTCATACAATTTTGAAATGAAGCTTAAATACTAAAAATAGTTTTAGTTCTATTGGAATTATTACAAATAATAATTTCATCTACTTAAGTTGTTAAAAAATACAATCCCTGAGAACCCTAATCAGTAAGAATTTAGGCACTTTGGAAATTTTTTAAATCAACAAGATGATGAAAAATACATACCTGAATATAATGAGAACAGACGCCTGAACATGTGTTATTTTCATAATTGTAGAACTTGTTTTCACTGAACCAACTTTGGATAGCAAAAGTTGCAGAATATTCATTATCAGGCCCAGTCCATATATTTTCACCAAGGCCACTAAAAACAGGATGAGACGTTCTTATTTCTTCTAAATGAGCATTACCTTCAGGAACACATTTCTGTGCCCAGGCTTTGGCAGTCTTTGCCAAAGCTTCATCCCAAGTCTGCAAACCAAAACAAATAAATTTTAGCTATGCTTTGAATTATTTCAGCATTCTAAAATCAGATATACAATTGGTCAGAAATGAGTGCAAGTGTCTTCCAAAAGTCCTGTAATCAAAAGGATTATGGACTGCACAGTACTATCACTTTAGGTTTGGATCTCAAGATATAATAACACGTACTCAGCATAAACTTAACAAATCATCACATTTATTTTACAATGATTAATGATGATTAAGGCAACACAAATAAAGATGAGAATAACATTCAATACAATAAGTAATAATCAGATAAAGAAAAGGGGAAATAAGAAAAGAAAGGATACACACTCACTAACCAGGCGAGCTCAAATACCTACTATACCGGAGAGACTGAAGATGGTCAAGAAGTCTGGTCAGGGAGGCAACGGAGCAACGTTCCACTCCGATTCAAATCACAGAGATTCGGTGTCACTATCTCTGGCTACTCCAAAAAATCCCTTTCCAAATGACCCCTTTATATCTATGTAAACCAGGGGAAAACAATCTTAGTATTTTGTTTTATGTACGTGTCCTTGGTGAGCACTCAGGTCCAGGACATGCACATATTTTAACAAAGGCTGGAGCTTGATCAGAGCCCCAGATACCTGTTTGTTGTGTAAGTCTCCAAGGAGTAATCAGGTCCTTGGACAGATACACTCTTCTGTCAAGAAAAATGTTCCTTGAGATGAACTGCTTCCCAGGGGAACATAGTTTGTTACTTAATGTTCTGTCTCCTTAGTACCCTCGGCCATGCATGTGAACTCCAACTTACATTCTTTATGTCAGGTCATGACGCAGTTACACCAGGGGCTGGGAAGGATCTCCTCAGTTTCCCTTAGAAGTCCACACTGATAGAAAGGCCAAAAGGAGAGGAAAGACGATGTAAACACAAAATTTAAACATGAGGGATTAGACTGGAGTATTCGAATGGAATAGGAGTAAAGAAGGAGGGAGTGAAATAGAAACAACATATATTTTGGAAAGAGGAGCTATAAATTAGAGGGAGAAAGCAGTAATAAAAGTAAATTCTAGGAACTTAGAAATGGGCAGGAAAGGGGAATTAGTAGGAGGAGATAGGGATATTTTACCATAAACAAAACAAATCAGAAAGACTAATACTGACCTAACAAAGACAGGAGCAGGGAATACAATATAAAATAGTTTAACAAAGGCACAAATTTAACAATTGTAACTTTAAATGTGAATGGATTAAACATCTTTGTAAAAAAAAAGAAGAATGGACTTTTAAAATTGCTTTATTTGAAAAACACATTTAAAATATACCGAAATGGATCTGTGCTCTCACCAACTTGAATGTCTCCTCCAATTATGCATATTGCAACCTCTCCATGCCTTCCCATGCTCGGCAACTCTTGTCCATGTGTCCTCTACCTCCATGATTTAGTAACCTCTCTTCCTGTGCTGAGGTTCATTTAATCCGTATCTACCACTCAAACAAAATCCTTTTAGCTATTGTCTACCAAACTCCAAGACATTTTTCTTTCCTTAAAGAGTTCAGTGCCTGGCTCACAGTCTTCCTCTCCTCCTTTCCTCTTGCATCAAACCTGGATGTGTATGTGTGTGTGTGTGTGTGTGTGTGTGTGCTGCGCGCGCACACACACATACATATATGTATGTATATATGTTCTCATATGTGTATATAGATAAGTAGATAAATATTTCCTTAAACATTCTAACCTCATAGCTCCTAAATTTACACATTTCCCATGATCTACTCCTCTAAGTCGCTTCAGCCTCATGCAAAGATAGCCACACTCTTGAACTTGACATCATCCACAAATGTACCACTTCCACATTCGTGAGCTCTGAAATACCCTCATCAAATCACAATCTATTTTCATTCCACATCCCCTGCTGCCTTGCAACTCAAAGTCCTATTCTTCATCCACACCGCGATTTGTAATCCATCGATCCCTAAATTCCTTCAAGGCCATCACCCCTGCACTAGTTATGTTCTTCTCCCTTCCCCATCCTGACCTACCGCTAAACTTGTTCAACACAACACTGTTAACTTCTCTTGAGTCCCATGTTCCTTTTTCGTATAATCTATTTTGCCCTGTCATATCTCAGCCTTGTATCTCTTCCATTATCTGCTGTCCTTACTCCCACACACATGCTGCTGAATGAGCTTGAGAAAATCATAAAACCATATTACTGTATCAACAAATTTATGTTACATAACCTTAATTGGGCTTTCACTGTTGGTAGGTAATCCTTTTACATTTCCTTAATTGACTCACTATCTCATTCTCCGCAGTCTTCCAAATCTTTTCACTTCTCTTCAAACCTCCATGGCTCTCCCACCCACCCACCCTCCCAGCCAAGAACCTCATATTTTATTAACAAATTGAAGCCATTCACAGAAAGCTTCCTCTTTCCCTTCCTCCTCATCTTATATTACCCAAATGTGTTTCACCACTATCTCTTCCTTCACACATTTCTTACGTAATGAGGTAGCCCTTCTCCTTGCCAAGCCAAACCGCTTTACATGCAAAAAATGGCCAAATTCTATCCTCTCTTCTACAGAAGACTGACCACTCTCCATCATCTTCACTTATCTTCAATTTCTCCCTGTCTACCTGTTATTTCTCTATTGCCTACAAACATGCCCACGTCTTCCCCATCCTCAAAAAAAACCTCTCACTTGATCCATCTATCCTGCTAGCTATCCTCTCATATCTCTCCTCCCTTCTGTGGCTAAAAATGCAAAGTCTGTGGACAATGGGTATCTCCATTTTCTCTCTTCTCAATCTCTTAATTGCCTACAGACTGGCTGCCAATCTCACCATTCAACCAAAGTTGAATTAACTGCCAAAATTTATTTAACTGCCAATTTCAATGTCCTTTACTCAATCTTTATCCTTTTGACCTCTCTGCAGTCTCTAAAACTATCAATTACTCTTCTTGATACTTCTTTAGGTTTTTGTGACATTCATTTCTACTGGTTCTCCTCCTACCTATAAGATCACTCCTTTTCAGTCATACTTGCTGCTTCTTCATCCAGGTCATATCTGCTAACTGGGGGTGTCTCACAGGGCTCTGCCTTTGGCCCTTTTCTCTATTTCACTTGATAATCTCATCAACTTCCTTGGATTTAATTATTATCTCTATGATAATGATTCTCAAATCACTTGTTCAGCTCTAACCTCTGGCAACCTTCAGTCTCACACCTCCAACTTCCTATTGGACATCTCAGACTGGATGTCCCATAGACATCTCAAACTCAACAGGTCTAAAACTGAACTCATTATTCCAATCAAAACTCATCTTCCCAACTTTCCTATTACTTTTGATACTATCACCATTCTCATAGGCACATGGCTTAAAATCTAGATGTTATCTTCTCTCTCATCTCCAATATCCAATCTGCCAAGCCTATCAATTATACTTTCATGACATCTTTCTTAAATGACACTTTCTATCCTCTACTTACTACTCTGGTACAAGTGCTCATCACCTCATACCTGAATTATTACAATATACTGCTGATTGGTTTTCCTACCACAAGTCTCTCCCCACTCCAGGTCATTCTCTGTTCAACTATCATAGCTATCTTAAAGCGTATGTCTAACAATATCACCTCCTTACTCAATAAACTTCAGTGGCTCCTTATCACCTCCAGAATAAAATATAAAATCCTCTGTTGTTCAAAGCTCTTCATAATCTGTACCCCATTGCCAACTTTGCAAACTCCTTACAATTTATATTCCCACAGCATGAGGTATATAGTCTGTGATCCGGGGACCACAGTTCCTTTTTGTTTGTTTTGCTGACCACTACTCCTGGAATGATCTTCCTCCTCATCTCTGCCTCTTGGCTTCCTTCAAGTCCCTCCTTCTACAGGAAGTCTTTCCCAACCTCTCTTAATTCTAGAGTCTTCCCTCTGTTGCTTATTCCAATTTATCCTACACGTAGCCTGTTTGTACATAGTTGTTTGTCTGTTGTTGTTTCTATTAAACTGTAAGCTCTTTTTGTCTTTCTTTGTGTCCCTAGTGCTTAATATAGTACCTAACAGGCAGTAGGTGCTTAATATATATTTATTGACTGACTTAAGTTCACCATGGGAATTCAGCCAATAAACAGAAGACCTTCTTTGCTTTCTTCTAACATTATGAGGATACCTGTGGAACATGTTTTTCTTTTTTCTCACCATGCAACTAGTCCATCTTCTTTTTCATTTATGCATTTAATGGAATTCTTTATACCAAATCTTCAAAGTTTCTTATTCATTATATGTAACAGCACACTTGCACCCACCATACATCTCTCCAGTCACATGATATTAATTTTAAATTCTTTAGAGACTATAATATTTCATGATTTGCAATTACACAATATACTACTGCAATATTTATATTAAAAATATGAGCCTTCTTCTGGAGGAAGTTTTAGGTCATTACAAGAGACTTCGTAATTTCCCAAAGGAAATTCAGCCCACTCTCCATTTCTTCTTTGATTAGAAGTGCAACTTAGGTTGACTGTTAAACTGCATATCATAATCTTTGCAATAGATATTCTCCATGTATACACTTTATTTTTCTATGTGGATAGGTCAAATTCTGTTAAGTAGTCAAGATCTCTAAAGTGTTTGGTGTAAACAGCACAATCTCATCTACCAATAAGAACTTCTAGAAGACCTCATTATGTAGAGGGAAAGGGTTCATAACTTGGATAGGCAGATTTCACAATGTTTCATGATTTAAATTTTTTTTGAAGACTATTTTAATATAACTGATTTCCTTTGTAAGCCTTTGTATTTTGCTTTGTTTAAAAAATATTATTTTGAGATGAGATCCATAGGCTTTACCATTCTACCCCCTCTTCCCCCACAAACAAGGTTAAGAACCCCTATTATTTGAAAATAAATTCCTCAACAAACTGGACTCTGCACTAGATCTCCTTCATCACATCACACAAATATCTTCAGCACCCTTTTTTATGCCTTAGCTGATCTATGATAA